ATAAGCCTTCCACTGCATAAAAACTCATCCTATATTGGTTGATTCTTGGTTCTGCCCATACTCATTGGAGTATGTAACAACGCGGCATATACACGTTAGTTGTAGACCAGATACACACCCAGAAAAACGCAAAACATAAAATACACTGAAGATTCAGTGAAGAATCAATTACTCGAACGATTGATTATTAATTTATTACTCTTTATTTATTTACCCCTAGCCACAAGTCATCCCCGTATTTTGCCACATCCATGGGTTCAGTCCTCCACGGCCCGTTAGGACTCTCACTTCAACCTTCCTCGCGGCTATAGATCACCCGTCTTCTGGTCAACTGATGGAACTATCTACAAGTACAACTTCATTTACGCCTACACCACCAAATCACAGCAGAACAGACTCAGACTCTGAATTTCCTCAGAAAGCAGACAGCCCCTGGGCTGAGAGGCCAGTCTCCAGTGTTCACAATAAGCGAAGCTGGGTAATGCCCCCGGTAATTTTTTTATTTTTTTTTTGCTTTTTTCCTTATATCACGCCCCCGGTAATTATGTCGTACTCCACATTATAAGGGATGCTGGACCCGATTTCCAGCAGGTGCTCCCCACTGTCCCCAGCACCAATGGAACGGAGCCATCCACTAGAAGGTCTCAATCCCGTTTGGTTCGGTTCTCTTATCACCGCAGAACCGTACAACTTCACTGGATGTTACTCGGAACAAAAAGAAAAGAAAAAAAGGACACCATTTTCTCAGAAATTGCGGAAATCTCAGACAGTGCGTGATTTGTGCTGGTCGTTGCAATCGACAGTTTTCTGCAGGCCGACACTACACACTCATGTCTCAGTTGTATTGACAAAGAGCGGATGCGAAGGAGTCATTCTGAGCACTTCAAAAATATATGATTCTCCATCAGCCCTGGCAGCGCATATGACAGGACCTCCGCAGCGCAAGTGAACGGAAAAAAAACACACTACCGTACAGCCCCTTGCCTCCAAAAATTGAGAGCAGTCACCACATCAGCCGCTGGCCAGCAGCTATTCCTTGTGAACCGGTTGCATATTTCTGTCTTGTATGGTTGGCTATGCGTGGGTAAGGGTGCATATCGGTGGGTGTTGATGGGTGGACAATGGAGAGGGTCGGGTCCGGGTGCTATCAATCAGATTGGGCCTGCGTGTGGCTGGGTTCAAAAGAAGGAATGCGAGTACGGTTGGATATGGGTGGGTAGGGACGGGTTGAGAATGGGCTTTCATGACCTGTTAAAGACCCAAGTCATGGGTTTACTTGTCGAATTAAAGGTTAAAACTTAAAACAAAATCACCGTGATACTGCATTGTTATAATACAATCCAATATGGTGAATTCTCAAGGCCTGTTCGCTCCAATTGTTTGGGTCTGTGGTGACACCCATGCATTTGACACAGTGAGTCATAGGGCCTCCCTCCACCACTCTCCACATATGCACAAACAACAAAAAATATAGCAATGCATCTTTCCCTGTTCTAGCAGAGGATTCAGTCTCAGTTTGCACATTTGGAGAGTGGTGGAGCGAGGCCCATAGCTACTTCACATGCCCAGAACTTCACGAACTTCACTCAAAGTAGTGTGAATAGTAGCCGAATACAATCTTCTGGCAAATGAAAAGAAAAAGAATTAGAGAGAGGATTGTCACGAAGTAAGAATACGACAGAGACTCGGATTGCTAGTTCATTTATACTACATTTGAGTCAGGGACGGGTTCGCAAAACAGGCATGATTTTCAGGCCAGGTACGGGTGCACAGAACAGGAATGGATCTGGGGTAAGGCCAGGTCCGGTGCTGAAAACGTTTGAGCTAGGGCTGTGGCTGGATATGGGTGCGCTGAGGATATTTTCGCTGCGGCTGCAGCTGGGGCTGGGGCTGGGCTGGAGCTGGGGCTGGGACGGGGCTGGGGCTGGGGCTGGGGCTGGGGCTGGGGCTGGGTACAACAACTTTTTATTTACGTTCAGATTGGGTCGGGTGAGTGGGTGAAAAGAAGATTCACGGTCATGAGTGCTGGTGGGAAGGGAAGAACTCCATGTTCCTCATACATACTTGATTACACACACATGCTATAAATAGCAGAGACGGCACAGCAGAGACGGCAGGCAGAGCGTACTACTCCTAACAACCACAGTCGCATTCTGGCCGGCCGCCATACACATCGTGTAATTTGATGAGAAATGACCACTGTAGTGACTGTACCTCTTATTAATGATTGCTTCGCATGTTGCACTTCATATATCTCAGGTAGGTAACCGTATGCATCAATCCTTCTTGATGACCACTCCTGTGTGTTGTGCTGTGCTTCACAGGCTGTGCTTCACAGATCTGAGATCTCAACGTGCACCATCGCCGTATCTTTGTAAAGCTTCCTGTGATGAAGTCACAGAGATAGCACACAGCCTTTCAAGTTTCAACATCTCTCCACACTCTGCCAAGCAGGAAGACAGGCAGTGAGCCATCATGGGAATTCAGCTGAGAACCGGGAGAGTTCTGAAAACGTGATGACAAGAGCGAGCCCTGGGTGCTATAAACGATCGATTGTATGATACTCGGCAGCTAACAGGGAAAAGAAACATTGTTAAGGGTAATGGCATTGGTTGTAACAGAACAACCTTTCCCGGTACTATGAGCTACCCTATGAAGGCAACTACGGTGTAGGGGCACCAGCGCAAAGGCCTGGAGATGCTTGGAATGAAGGGCATTCCAGCAAAAAAAAAAGAAACAAAAAGAGGAGGGTATGACAGCAGAAGAGAGGTGGGGGGGGGAGACCAACAAGAACAAAAGAAAACGAGGATGGCTTCCTCGGTCCAAGTAGGGTGGGACTAGCGTGTCTGCGGACTTCTTTCCTGCACAGCTTGCACTGATTGCAATCCCTCGTACAAGATGTGGGGACCACCACCTAAAGACCCCAAGTTCGAAATTGGTTGGAATTCAGGATCGCCCGAAAGTGCAAACACTCGGGGCGACGGAGGGACCCCATAGTAGCGACTGATGCCAGACATAAAAAAGGGTCCTATGGAGTACGAACTATCTACAGACAGAGGCGCATGCAACCCCTCCCCATCGGCACCGGCACCAGCACCGCCAGCATCACTGCATCGGTGTGCCGCTCCCTAGTCAAGGAAGACACACAGCTCGCAGTAGGAGTCAACGCTAACACTCTGGGTAATCTATAGACCAGCAGGATTAGCTTCTGCTCTACCCGCTACCGTCTTCACCCGAATAGAACGCCCGCTCATTATACCCGTATTTGGTGCAACTTTCAGTCTACATACAGCGATAATGACCGGGCGTTCTATTCGGGTGAAGACGGTAGCACTAGGCTTTCTGCAGCAATATGCCGCCCAGGTAAAATCTTGCTCAAATTGCATCTGTGCAGGAGAAAAGGGGGTAGGGAATGGGGACAAAAAGAGGGAAAGGAATCAACTCTTTAGAACTGACTATTTACACGCTTTTGCTTGGTGGTGGCATTGAGCTCCCTGCGCTCAGAATTCTGATCCTGTTGCACATAGCCAGCAGGCCAGAGCATGCTGTCCAACCGCTCGCTGACCATTCACTGGCAGCTCAATTACCTGAGTAACCAGCTCAGCTACCCAACTAGCAGCCGCAGCAAAAGCTAAGGAAAGCTCAACTACAACTACAGAAAAGCTTATGGACTATTCACTTCCATAGAAGGGCCAGCAAGCGAGGCAAGCTGTGTGACGACATTATGTGACACGCGTGCTGGCTGCTGGTCAGCTCTTGATAGATGGCAGTACGCACTTCTTTCCCCTCACAAGACAGGCAACCTTGTTCTGCTCCATGAACATATACATAATCCGCCTTTTCTACCGACGCAAGCCCTCCCTCCGAACCTCTCGCATTCTTCGAACCCCACCCCGATTCAGAGTCTTCGAAGGAGTACTACGGCGCTGTGCTCCACCTGGTTCAGACCTTCCAATATCTTCACCACCACCTTCCCCTTGCGCCCCCCTGCCCCCCCCTACCCCCCCCGCCCCCCCTCAGAACTCTCAATCAGTTCCACCCACTTCATGGCAGGAGCAGAGTCTGACCCAGCAGCACTGTCTACATTTCAAATAGTGCCACTGTCACCAGCATGTGCACTTTGCATGTAAAGACATGACGTCTTGCGCTTGACAATACCTTCACAGCCTCAACCCCTCCCCCTGGCACACAGTCTTAACCCCTCCGCCTTGCACCCCCTGCCCGGCTTCAGAATTCTCAATCAGTTTTGGTCACCACCATCTCCATGGCAGGAGCAGAGTCCGACCCAGCAGCACTTGGTTCATGCAGCATGAGTCCCAAGTCTATGGAGCAACATTATTTGCCAGTGTCAACATTATTTGCATTTTGCACGTAAAGACGTGACGTCTTGCTCTTGGCATCTTTGTATCTGTCGCCTCGCATCGCACACATTGCTGCTGCTAGCGATGGCCACCGCCTGCAGCTGCTACCAGCCGAGGAGCCGGATTGGTGCCACCACCACCCACCCCTTTGGCTGGCACTGGAGTAGGTGTCTGAAATCCCAAGTACTGCCTAATCTGTGCCAAAGTGAGAGCTTCAATAAGTTGCAAATGCGAAACTCCACCGTCCTTCTTGGCTGCACTTCCATGATTTCCACAACTGTGCCCAAGCAGCTGGCCTGGATTTGCAGTCAAGCCAGGAGCAGTGAGTAGCTCGTTCACCCGCAGCTCGAAGGAGCCATGGCACCTTGTCAGCTTGTCTGCTACCGCCCCCGCTACACGGATCGCGCCCACTGGCTCTCCTTTCGCAGTCCCTCCCGGAGAGGGCGGAGATGGTGCTGCCTTTCTCGAGGGATCCACCTTCAGGTTGTTCCATTTGCTACTGGTGTTGGTTGTAACCCCCCTTGCAAAGTTGCTGCTGATGACGTGACTCCGTGAATTTGCAGACATGCTGCGGAGCGCTCTCAGAGACAAGGGGTCCACCAGCCCTTGACCTGGCTGGCACACAAGGGCCCCTGGCACAATGTGGTTCACACACATGCCCCCACGCTCATCGTCAGCAACGTATTCGGACTCGATGGTCCCCGGAAGCGGATCAGGTATAGATGCACACAGGTTTCTGATTTCTTCTGACTGCAGGTATTCCCCCGCCGCTCTGAAGTTCGTCAGGTGGTAGCCGCGCTCCCCGCTGTGACCTAAGGGATTGCTCAGTTCCCAGAACTCATCCATGAAGCAGCCATTGGCCAACAAGTTGTGGACCTTAGCCTTTGCCATCAGGACAATGAGCAGAGAGACAAAGTCGTCCGTGCACGGAAGCAAGTTCTCCTTGTCGTCGCCCTTGTGAGCTTTGATTACGGATTGAATCCCTTCCATAATACGCTTCGAGGTGAGCTGCAGGCAAATCACCTTCTCAATGGGTGTTCGTGCAAGGTTCAAACACCGGAAGCACCGCATGGCCTCCACAAGAATGGCTTCCTCATGCTCCTTTCTTACTCCTAATTTTGAAGGATCCACCTTATCTAGCTTAGCCAGAGTCCGTCTGAGCTCCCTCTCCTTGCCCGCGTTCATCTCTATGATGTTACTCATTATCTTGTCGTGAACACAAGACATGACCCACGTCTCCGCCGCCATCCGCAACTGATCCATATGCGGAGGGTAAGTCCGGCACGTCCCGAGGGTCGGATTGCACTCAAGCAGCTGTTCCACAAAGGACCTGACAATGTTGCGGATTGTCCCCTTCCACGTCTGCAGCCTAACCTCTGCTGGGATGGTGGAAGCGCCCATGTCGTAGGCGCGGTTGAAAGCGTCCAAGAGCTTAGAGGTGCGTTGCAAGCAGGGCACATTCAGGCAGCTAGACTTGAGGAAATCGATACACCCTTGGCAGGTTTCCAAGTCAGGCCAGAGAGGACGAACCGACTGCGGTCCATCGCTCCAGACAATCCGACAACCACCTCCTCCTCCTTCAATGCAGGTGCCTCCCACTGACGAAGTATTATCTCCTAGAAAAGAGCCCAGTTGGGCCCCCCTCCCCCCCCCAGCCTTGTTCAACTTACTGGTATCGACCCCTAAAACCTGCAAATCAGCATCAGTGAGGGTAATTTCAAAGCTTGCATTGGGCCTCTCCTTCCCCGCCTCACGCTTTGGCAAATTACAGTCACCCTGATCCTCCTGTGAAGGGGTTGTTTTAGTTTTAGCCCCTTTTCCGAGCTTGTGACAGGGGGCGGGCTGTTTCAGCGAAACCAGGACCACTTGTTTGTCGATGGCCCACTTCCATTTATGAGCCTCATCCTTGGTGGGAGCCAGCAGTTCCCAGTACCGACCCTTGGAGGGCACAATGGTGAAGAGCACGCCAGAAATAGCTTCCTCCTGTGCCGGCTTAGGGTTGTACCAAATTGAACCCCAAGGCCTTCTTGGGGCCCGCGCAGCATTATTCCCTTTCGTTGCCCCGGGTAAACCCCGCCCACCACCTGCCTCTGAATGGGAACAAGGTGCTGCTGCCTGCGTGGTGGTCCCCACTGCTGCTACTGCTACTGCCACTGCTGAGGCGTTAGAAGCCACCAGTACACCGCTAGAAATTATGGAGCTTGCACCGAATGAATCCGGCATGGCTACTGATGCAGCAGTAACCGATCCCGATCCCGATCCCGATCCCGACCCCGACCCTCCATTTTCAACCGCGGAATCGATGTTCACAGTGCACCGGGCAATCTTCAGAAAAGGCGTGTCATCAAATGGAACGCCAAAGCCGCCTACTCCACACATGAAGCGCGCTAGCCCAGTCCCACCTGTCCCACGGGACTTTTGGGGACTTCCTGGCGGCCGATCCGACTTGTAGAAGCTGAGCCTTTCCTCTGTCAAGACGACGAAACGTCGTTTCCAACTCCTGTGAATCCGAGCGCGAACGTGGAGCCAGCCCGAGTGAAAACAGTTCCACTCATCTGCCCCCCCTCCGCTGCCTGTAGTCGCCATCTGCGCGTTATTCAACGCGTAAGGATCGGGAAAAAAAAAAAGAAAAGAAAAAGGAAAAAAAAAAGACAAAAGCAAAAAGCAGTACCTCCCACAGCAAGTCTCCCAACC